TGGCTGGTGGGGTGTGGGGGCCGGCTGGCGCCCCTGCCGATGCTGCTTTCTCGGCAGCTCTGTGAACTCTCCTCTTTGGTAGCAGGAGAAACTTTTCCACGCTGGAGCACGCTGGCGAGTGCCTAAAACAGAAGGCTCAAAAATCCTTTCAAAATCCTTTTTATTTGAAGTGTTTTATAAGCACTGGTGCTTAACGAGCTCAAACCTTTCCTAATCCGTGCACATCTATTATCCCAACGATCCATTCGAAAACTGGAGCACCAGGAGGTGCTGGGACTTGGCGGAGGGGTGAACGGGCCGTGACTCACCGGCGGAGCTGGGGTGGCCTCATGAGCCTCCTCGCTGCTGCTTTGCGTTTCAGCCTGTGTCAGGCTGCGTGTTTAAGCAGCCCCGTGTTAGCAGAGACGGCCTGGCCGCCCTGTGGCCAGGCTCAGAGGCTGCTCTGAGGAGATCTGAAGTCATATCTGGAAATAAAATCAGCATTTTTTTCTTTATTAGGCTCCAAAAGCAATAATTCAAGCGATGGTTTTGGCACTGGCAGCAAAGATGAGCGTAAAGGGGCAAGCGGTGGTTAACAGCGCTCGCGCGGCGTGTGGGAAGAGTCTGCTGGTAAATCTGTGGTTTCACTCTGTGGTTGAGCTGCCCTGCTACATGGCTTTTGTTATCGACTTTCTTGAGGATCAAGGGAAATATTTAAGTTTTTCTTCCAGTGCAGGTTGTCTAAAACCTGGCCTGTGTGAGCCTGTGCAGAGCAATTGCGTTCGTTGCAACGCGCGGAAAATCGTTTCGCAGAGCCTCGATATTGTAAAACTCCGGTGGGAGCGGCAATTAACAGACGCTTGTCTCGTTGTCTTTAGGTCTCATAAACGACCATAAAAACGTCCATGGAAACGCTCCGGTGCCCCTGCCTTCTGCGACGCCGCGGTGGAGGAATCCCCGGCAGCCTGCCTTCAGCAGACGCGGGGCGTTTTCAGCCAGCTACTCCCAGCAGGCTCCTAGGGATTTCCAGCCGCACCAGGGTAACTCCTGGAGGAAAAAATACTCCCTTGTGAACCGACCGTCTGGACCGACTTGTCACGCCGGCAGCGCTGGAAGTGCGAGCACTTCGCAGGCTTTTGTAAGCCAAGGGGGCAGCCGGGCAACCGGGCCCCAAGGAGCAGCCCCAGAAAGGCACGTGGACTTGACTACAGATGGTAATATAGTTGTTGGGATCCAGCTGCCACGGAGGACTGGCCCGGTTGTAAACGCTAAAAGTTTTGCCGAAGTGAGCTCTTACTGTGAGGTTTCGGGGTTGAAAAAGGTGGCAGCTGTTCCGGACAGCAGTAAAAATGTGCAGAAACACTCTAGTTCTCTGTACACGAGCCAAAAGGATGAGAGAAAGCCCTCTTTCTCGGTTTCCTTTAGTTCCTCGTACCGATCTGCGAGCTCAGTGCAACTGAACGTGTCGGACGTGCTGAGAACGGTGCATCTGTCTGGCGAGGCGGCCCAGAGCACCGCCGCCTCCCGCAGAAGTGCCAGTGAAAGTGCCGTAACGCTTAAGTCGAAGCTGCAGCAGCCTTTGGCCGTGCCTGACCGCGAGCTGGGTTGCCGCTCGACGTGGAAGAAGCCAGAGCCGCCGGTTCCAGGGCAGTCTAGCTCTGAGCAGGTCCGAGATGCTTTCCGAGAGCCAAAGCTCTTCGGAAACGCCGAGGCACGCTCCAAACCTGCTCAGGCTTCCACTTCGGCAGTGGGGATGAATCCAGTGAAGAGTCGATTTGCAGTACTCTCCAAAGCGACCGGTCTCCAAAGGGCCACCTCAACATCAGTCTCCAGCAAAGCTTTGAAATTCAAGAAAACCAATTACACGTGGGTTGCAAACCCTGGTAAATGTTCGCGTACTGTGAAGAGGTGGATCAGCCCTCGAGCTTCTGACAGTGCGAGGAAGCTCGCTGGCGGAGCAGACAAAGTGGCTAAGCTATCGCCGAAAGGAGACTTGGGAGCAAAGCTGAAGAAATCTGGACTGCAGCCCAAATTGGGCGTTTCCCCCAGCAAGTATAAATGGAAAGCCTCCAGCCTGCAGACCTCTCCCTCCACCTCCAAGTCGGCGTTCAGGTGGCAGTCTGAGGACCAAAAAAAGGCTGGGGCCTCCAGCGCCTCTAGAGCCAGCCCTGCCCCGCCGCCTCCGAACGCCGCGTCTGTCGGTCACAGCGGGGTGAAGTCGTCCTTCGGTGAGGCTGCGCTTTCCGGTTATAAAGTGAAGAGTCGGACAAAAATCATCAAGAGAAAAGGATGCTCAGGGTAAGTTGCTCATCGTCTTCGGAGTACTGTCAGCGCACTGGCTTTATTTCGCGTCCGTTGACTTCAGTGGAAGTCTTTATGCCCTTTCTTTATGCTCTTATCCCTTTGGAGCAAGGCATCTATTCTGTGTTGAATAATGCTGAAGTGATTAATAACGAGATAATAACGTGAAGTGCATGGAAGGTGTGGATGTATGTATGAGTGCAATTATAATGATACGGGCGGATATATATTTGCCCTTCCCTTTCCGGGTATGGTGACTTTGCTCTGCGTGGACTCATTGTGAGGCCTCAGGTTTTAGTTTTTATCGATCTGTGTAACTCTGAATTTATCTTTCAAACAGAGGTGGGTTTTCTTCTCATCTCCCACCCTTGTTCTCTGAAGACTTTGCCGCAGCACTGAGGAGTCTCCTCCCCTACCATAAGAACCTACTGATATTTAGAGGGGAGGAAATAGCTTTCTTTCCTTATTGATTTGTTTTCAAACTCTCGGAGCCTCATTACATTGGGAGCTGGCAAGAGGAAAAGTGACTTGAATCCCTTATCTTTTATCATCTGTCACCGTAAAGCGCTTTGCAGACTCTGGAATGGAGAGGGAGGATAGTAAATTAATTGTGTGGGCTTGTGCATGCTGGGAACAAGCGATACCTGGCCGTAAATCTGTTATTGCAAGTGAAGAGCCCTGGTGTTGTCAGTGATGCTCTGCTGTTGCCGTTCCCCCCTCTCTCCGGGGTGTGGATTGCCTCCTTTCTTCACTTTGTGCGGTCCACCGGTGTAGTCTAAGTGCTCATGTCCTACCTGAAGACTGACTTTTGCTTCTCCTTGTGGAGTCAGAGTGATGGATCTGTGGTCTTCCTGCTCCTGTAGCTCACAGGAGAGTGCCTGTGCCAGACCGGCAGGGATACTTCTGGGTCTCGTGGAGCGACAGTCTCCTCTCTGGCCGTGCTTGATAGGGTCAGAGTACAATGGAGAGGATATAAAGGAAGCTTGGCGGAAGGAAAAGGTGTGTTATGTAGAAAGGCATTTGAACTGGGCTGGGAGTCAAGTGGGAGCAGATAAGGGATTGGGACCAGACTTTCTCTTAAGGCTGGTGTGTTGCAGAAGCGCTCCGAGGGCTTCGTTACGTTATGGTCCTGGTGGGAGACAGCAGCAGGGCTGGATGGAGGCCCAGCGCTGCAGGGAAGAGGGAAGTGGGATGTGGTGAAGCTTGGTGGCGCAGCTACGTGACCCCTGTGGTATCACCTAACCGAAAAATATGCTCAGTGTAGTGGCTCCTTTCTCACTGCAGTAATGCCGTGGGCTCTTGAGAAAGGAGGGCTGTGGCCTTCATAACTGATCCGAGTGACACAGTGAGCCAGCGACAGAGCCCAGACTGAAACTTTGGTGCCCCTCCTGTTGCTGTTTCCCAGATGCTCTGCTCATTAGTACATCACAGCTCTCCCTCCTCCGCTTGCCCCCCTGGTGTCTTGGGGGACATGTCTGCTGGTAGATCACGCTGGGAAAATGACTTTGTGGTGAGGTGCCTGGAAAAGCTGGGATTTTTTCTGTGGTTTTTGTTGACTGTCAGGATTTGGTCCTCTCGGCTCTCTGAAGGACACTGTCCTTGGCCCCGCATCTGTTTGGACGGAAGCCGGAAGAGAGTGAGTTGAGTCTGACTGTCAAACACCTCATTCTCCATCTGCGCTTTGCCAGAAATACGTAGCATTTGCCTATTGCCCTTTTCTATGCAGTATGGCTTATGACCCTTGTGTAGGGGAGCAGCGTGGAGGAGAACAGAGTTTGGTGACCTGGCTTCTCTTCCCAGTGGTGGGCAAGGGGACCGGTGTGTTTCAGTTACCTCTCGACCTTCGTTTAACTGTGGCGTGTTGTGCCTCCACAGTTCGCCAGCAGATAAGAAGAGCAGCTCCTCTCCTACCACGCCTCTGAAAAGTCACTTCCATCTCAGGAAGAAAAACGCCTTGCGGGGGAAACCTTCTGCGACGCTGAAACGTTCCTCACCCAAGGGCCTGGTGCAGATCACCAAGCACAGACTGTGCAGGCTGCCGGCCACTCGGATGCAGGTCTCTGGCAAGGAAGGTAGGAACAACTGTCCAAAGGCGGTGATGGTGTTCGCTGACTGTGCGTTGGGGAAGTGGCTCCAAGAGAGGCTCTTGGAGTCAGGAAATGGGTTACTGGGTTCTCGAGGAAGTGCTGTCACTGCTGCTGTCAGTCTAGGGGCAAACGCTGAGGACAAGAGTCTTGGCTGGAGTAAGGCTTCTGCCTTACCTCAAAGCTGTCTTGTAAATGTTTGTGCCGCGAGATCTCCAGACAGGGCCATTTTAAAGCTTCTCGTGGCCTTTAAGGTGGTTTTGCCAGACCTGTAGGTATCAAATAGAAAAATGATTGAGGAGGGGCTTAACCGGAAGAGGATGGCGGAGACGGTAATAACATGCAAGACTGGGTAATCTCTTTCTTTGCACAAGGGAAAAGCTTGTGCATGTCATGAGATGCTCCTCTAGCGATTACAGCCCTACCTAATGCACCTGTATCCCAGTGCAATGTCTGCAGGAGTCTAGCTTTTATATGCGTTTGGGTTAAAATTGAAATTACTGGAGGAATAAAGGCCGCTGAGTGTCGTCTCCGAGCCTAAATTGAGCTGAGGTGAGAAGCGACTGTTCCTCTGGCGGCTGCATTGGGTTTCAGCCTTGTGCCCTGGGAAGGGTTACATGTTTCTCTTGGGGATGTTTTCTACTTGCTGCAGTGCGTGGTGGTAGCCTGCCCGTACCAGATGCTTCACGTTTATGAACAGGTACCTTGTGTCTATGTCCTGTTGCCTTGGGTTGGCGCTTCTCAGAGCAGAAAGCAGCTCGGAGCAGCTTGCTGGGGCCCGGAGAGCTGCACCTCTGCACGTGAGACCGATTGGCGAAGCTTCCCATCTGAAGTCTGGTTCTGCTATTAAATGGCTACATGATCACGGACGAGAGGCTTCACCCCCTGCCCAGCCCCGAGATTCAGTTTTGCTGGTACGAAACGTGTTTTGGCTGTGTGCCTGCGCTTTGCTCGTTTGAGTACAGCGGTGTGGCTAGAGACACCATGACGGCAGGTATTGTCGGAGCAGGGAGGGCTGTTTAGGCTGTGACGTAGCTGTGGTCTGTCTCAAAAAGGTAAAGCCGTTTGGCCTCTGTTTTCAGGAAGATGCTCGTGTGGTTTCCTGTTCTGCACTGCAGTTACTGAGTTTACATGTGTGATTATAGTTATTTCATGTTCCGACAAATAGCTCTGTGTTAACGTGTGTTAAGACGTTGCTGTGTTTTGACAGAAGAGAAGAATCAAGGCTTGCAGTTCAGGAAAGGAAAAAGGTACTTGGGAGAGGAGGAGAAAAAACAATTTTTTCTCTTAACGTGTGTGTTTGAGGAGGGATTCGAAGGGCTGGAGAGGATGCTGGGAGGAGACTTTCAGATCTAGTGCTTTGGGAGGCAGAAAAAAGGTTCATGGGAGAGGCAGAAGCAGGGAGAATAAGATTGCGTTTAACTCTGCTGTGGTGCCAGTGGTCTAGCATCCTGGCAATCGCCTTGCTTTGGGGCTGAAGCTTGTTAAATTTAAGGACATCAGCAAGTCCTTTGGTGTCTGGAGGGGCATGAATGCACCTCCAGTTCGCGCTGAAAGCGTTTGTGCGTTGCATGGAGGCAGCGTGCGCGGTCGGAGGTCTGTCGTGCTTGCGCTGCGACTGCTCTTCCGTGATGGCTGAAACCAGAGGTGGCAGGTACAACACGTGGCTAGACCCAGCCGTGATGGAGAAGTGGGGGCCAGGAGGCCGGTCTTCCTGGAGTGGTGCTGGTGTGTGGGATGGCGAAATGCAGCTCTTTGGCCTCCCGTGAAATGTCCCCTGCCTGTCCTGGGGTGAATTTAGGACTCGGACCTCAGAAACTGCTTCCTGGGGACTTTTCTTCAGTGTGCATGTCCAGTAAGAGACACCGAGTAAATTATAAATCTTTGTGCTGTAAAGCTCCTTTTGAAAGAACTGAGTGGGATTGCTGAGAGCCTGGTCTGACTGCCCTGCTGTAGACTCTGAGGGGACAGAGCAGTTTAGGGTTGCAATAGCATTTTGCATGTGAGGAAACTGAGGCACTGATGGTGATAAGCAGGTAAGCTGTTCCGGTGATCCGGCAACAGACCTGGGGTTAAAGCAGAGCTTTGCTTTCGGCGTAGCCCTGTGCTTATACCTGGGTTTACGTGGAGCAGAGGCCTCGCTGCAGCCTGTGTTCGGCTGCGCCTGTTGCAGAGGGAGCATGGGAGGTCACAGCGCCGGAGCTGCTCACGTCGGAAAGGCTCCCGGCTCCCCTCGAAGCCTGGCTGGGGCTTGAAAAACGTCTTCCTGGGTTAACTGTGGTGGGGTTTGCTGACCAGTCATGTTGGGCCTGCTACTTCTAGCCATGCTGTCTTCATTTTTCTTGTCTCCTTAACTCCAGGTTTCTCTAGGGATCACCTCTGGGTTTAGTGGTTTCCTCCTAGAGACGCCAACCCTACAACGGGATCCTTTCAGCAGAGCAGGGACAAGGTGGCTATCGGCTTTATTCGCGAGCTGCTGTGCCAGTGAGAATCGCTGTAGAGCCTGCTCTGTTCCACACCTACCTATTTTTAGTGGTGTTTAAAAAGAAGAGCGCTTAAATTGAAACTTTGTGAATTACAGCCGTGTATTCAGAGCATCTCTCTTTTTTTGGAAGCTGTCAGCAAAAGCGTGTGCCCAACAGAAGTGAAGCGATATATAAGTTAAGAGCATACAAAATGGATTAAAATCTTCTGCCCTCCTGGGAGCCTGATTGGCAGCTGCCAAAACCCCACGTTTCTGGGAACGTATTCTGATTTCTTGATTGAAGGCAATGTTCTCATAAAGAAAAGATTTTTTGATCTTAAACGAGCTAGGACTGAAAATATGTAGATAGTGCAGAAACATGGTTGTGCTGCTGGCCTTGATCCAAGTGGAAGAAGGCGAATAAAGAAGTTTAGAGAAAGCGGGGAAAAAAATAGAAAATAGGGCTGGAAGTGGCTTTGGGAAAGCGTCTAGTTCATTCTCCTGCCCCAAAGTGGAATCGCGTTATTACAGAACCACAGAATCACAGAAGGGTTGAGGTTGGAAGGCACCTCTGGAGATCAGCTAGTCCAACCCCCCTGCTCAAGCAGGGTCCTCTAGAGCATATTGCCCAGGATCACATCCAGACGGGTTTTGAATGTCTCCAGGGAAGGAGACTCCACAAGCTCTCTGGGCAACCTGTTCCAATGCTCTGTCACCCTCACAGTGAAGAAGTTTTTTCTTAGGTTTAGATGAGAAACGGTTATTAAACCGTTTCTGACAGTTGCTAGTCATGTCTAGCACAAACAAAACCCTAACTCGTGACGAGCTGTGAGCTGTCTACATTGAAGTGCTTGGAGCCGTGCGCTTCGCAGGCTTGGCTCGTGGATGTGGCGATGAGTCTCTGCTTTAATAAAACTTGGTGACCGTGTTCGAGCGCTTGTGTGTGGCTTTTTTGCTTTGCAGACGGTAGCCACCTGCTGTAAAAATGTGTCTTGCTCTGGTTTTAAAATGGCTATTTGCAAAAGGAAGTGCCCTGGCTGCCTTCACTGCGTGTGTGCGCGCGTGCGCGTGAGCTGTTCCCTGTGCCCTGCTGTGCTAGTGGGAGCACAGACACTGCTGTTTTAAAAGGTGACTTAAAAATGATTCCTTTCCTTTTCCCCACTGTAATTATAAAACGCCTTCTAAATTTCTTTCCTGCCCTCTGTAATAGAGAGGAACTCTGTACTCCAGTAGACCAGCCATCAGCCTTGGAAAATGGACTGTCAAGTGGGACTGGGACCATTCAATTAAAGCTGAGGATGGATTCCCGAGGCTGCCTCTCTCGTCCCCAGGGACGGTACAAGGTTGTTTCTACTGTATTTCTTACTGCCTTGTCCAGCCTTTCTGCAGAGCCGTTGCTAGCGTTTCTCTTGAGACGTAGCGACATTGGATAGATCCTCTTGCTAGGAGGACCTTGCTCACTTCAGATCTTTCTCAGTATGTTTTCTCCTGACGTGATAACTCTGCAAACTTGGCTGTGTGTCTTCTTTCCTGCGAGGTTCCCTAAGATGCCACGCAGTGATGTAATCCCTTCAAAGTCTGTGTAGTCTTTTCTCTACCATGTTTACAAGCTGTCCCCTCACCGCTAAAACATCAAGCACTAAACACTAATATCATATGGGTGTCTAATTCTGGGTGGCCGCTGGTAGTCTAACCTCTACCGTACCTTCATCTTGGGGGATCCCAAAGGACCGGACGGATGCTCCGTCTCCTGACAACGGCAGCTCTGTTCAGTGGTGAGGCAGCTGCAGAGCAAGACACAGCTGCTTTGCTTAACCACTTAGCAGGGAAGGTCAGCCAGAGTCTTGAGGGCTTTGAGATTGCAAAGTGAATTTTGGCAGGACTGGGCTCCCCTGCTTGGCGTTTGGTTAAGGGTGAGCACTAGCGCTCCTGCTTTGCAGGCACAGACGTGTTGCTCCTGGCTGGCTCCTGGTGAGTTGTGCTGGCTGTACCACGGTTTGTGACTGGATGTGTTTTACTTTGCCCTGGGACCAGCTGAGTTGCGTACAGCTTTGGTAGCGAGCTCAGCTGATGGGTGGTCACTTGTTGCGCTGTGGTGCTTGGCCTCCCCATGACTGTGCGCACAAAAAGCGATTTGTACAGCTGTTGAATTACCCCCAGCGCTATTCATACGTGTGCTCAAACTTTTGCCCTGAAGGATGGTCTAATACGAAGAGGTTGGATGGAGCCAGGTCGTTTTCAAGGCGGCATCCCATGGTCCGATGTGAGAGCAGAGGGAGTTTGAGCTTGGCCTCCGGTAGGACTTGGAGCAGCTCAGGCGTTGCTCAGATTTAATTCCCCTCAATAGATAATGTTGCATATATGTGTAGTGGTAATTTTCTTCTGGTTTCATTGTGGTCCAGTAGGGAGCTGGGAGGCAGAGGCTTGTGACTGTAATTGCTGGCTCTCGGGCTATCTGAGAGACTTTGGGAGGGTTGTTGTATTATTCTGTGCTTGTGCAAAGTGGCAAACATAGTCAGCTCGT